TTATTATAATATATAGTATATAATAATATAATAAATAGTAATATATAGTATAGTAAAATATATTATAATATAGTAAATATATTTACTATACTATACTATACTATAGTATAGTAAATAATATTATGTAATATTATATAATAAATATAATAAATTTACATATCAGAATATTTCTAACAAATGTGTGTATCATCTATTATCTCATTTAAAATAATAATATCTTGTAAACAAACAACAAATAATCTTACAGTAGAATGCAATCTTATACATACAATAATGTGTTTAATTTATAAAATGCAAATTATTATCAAATGAAAAATAAGCACGTATAGAGGTATAGGTATAGGTATTTTTTAATAAGAAAAATCAATAGAACAAAAACCCTAAGTAAACCGTATTAATGTTTATGTATAACATCATCCTTTTATACTTTTCCTGCAACTCGAAGAGGACAAGTCAAAGTACACGCGATATGCAAATCCGGAGATAAGTGCGTCTAGTCTGATCGTCGAGTTGGTAATTCACGTAGAAACAAACGCGTCCGTCCGGGTGTGTGCTTCTAATGAGATTTTTTTTTTTTTTACAACCAAGGGATTATAAAAGGAAAAAAAAAAAGAAATGAGCGTATCAGCGTAATTGAGCGTGTTAGGAATAATACCTTTCTTCAGGGGATATCTAAATACGTACTACAATTATATAACAACAACATATACATATGTGTAAGTATTAGTTAGATAGTGTACTGTATACCTTAATGTGTATATGTGTGTGTATGTATACATTAGAAAAAAAAATTATCAACCCATTATGGGAAAAACAAAGAAGATGCTAACTTCTATCTATTATCATTACTTTATTAATAACACTCGTAATTTTCGTATTAAACCTAAATGATTTGTATCATTTATTAAACATTACGAATTTTAAATATTCGATTGGCTAGAAAGTCATTTCGGTTTTTTTAGTGTGAAATATTACTTTCTCTTGTCAACCCAATAATATTATATTTATTACAAATATAAAATATAATTATTTGTATTTATTATATAATAATATTATAATATTACTATTTATACTTAAATAAATATAAAATATATAACTCTCTCTATTTATATTTATTATATAATATTATATAATATATTATTACTATTCATATTTATTATAAATATTAAATATAATTATTTATATTTTTGATTGACAAATTGGTAAGTTCAAATTATTCGATTTTCTTTTTTTTTTTTTTTGATCATTTCGTTTATATTCGTCAAATTATTTTGCGTATATTATTTATAACGTGTAATTTTGAAAATCGTTACAAATTTCAGGTTTATTACAATATTGTGTTACTTGATTCGACATGTGTCACAGAATAT